GATATCGAATAGATGTTTACTCTTCATGATGAGGATAAAAGAAACGGTATAAAAATAGTCGTAGCGAACATATTCTTTGAGCTGAAAGAAAAGGAGACGGATATTAACAAAGCCCTCGAAAATGTTCTTTCCAAATAACATAAGAGAAACATTTAAAATTGAAAAGAAAATGTCAGAGGATCGAACCACTTTTGCCAAAGGCAGGATATTCAGGTGGGTCGTAGTTAGGATAAAACTCAAAATATATATAGCCGCATAAAAGAAAACCGAATAGAAGGAGCCGATGAAGCACGGAGAGTCTGGCTTCAAAGAGAGATTCCTAATCGATCTGCGGGTAATCCAATACAGCCCACCAAGAAGGAAAGAACGTATAATGCAATTTGAGCTTGTATACTGATTGTAGAGAGCCTCATAGGCCTGCGAACACATATACGGAATAAGGGCTCCAAATGGCATTATAACGTTGAATAATTTGACAGCATTTTCCGCATATTCATCGACATTCTTCATCGAATGAAAGGACACAACAACTTGCAAAAATACGTGCGAAAGAAATTGCCAGAATGCCAGTGCAATTAGGGGCTCAAAGAATTTTCCGATCAAGGCAGGAGTTGAAGACACCCTGTAAGACGAAACCGCCAAACGCGGCGGATTATTTTTATAAGTCTCAGAGTAATCAGAATACAACAGAGCAATAATGAGAGCCCCTAAAAATATCAAAACCATCTCGAATTTGTAAGCAATCGATGATAGCACTGTAGAGGAATGGATCAAATTATGCAACTTATCTGCAGCATAAACATCCAAATTGGAAATAATTGATGTTATTCCATTTTCATACAAATCTATGCCAAGCTTTGCGGAAAACATATTTTCTGGATACGAATATCCGAAAGAAAAAATGGCGGGCGATGAGACGCAAAGGAGAAGAAAAAGTACCAGACAAGCCATTGATCGAAAGTCGGATAAAAATGTAATTAAAATGATTGCATGATGCTTATGATGGTCTTAATGAGTCATTTTGATTTTAATTGGTAAGTTTTCATTTTAATTTAGAGTTTGTAGGCTTATTTAATTTGCCATTCCCTTCCCATGTATTCTTCCAAACAAAATTTTTCTGAAGCATGCGAGACCGCCCTGAACAAGCAAGTTAACATGGAGCTGGGTGCGTCGTATTCCTACATGTCTATGAGTGTCTTTTGCTCCAAAGATGGCGTTGCTCTTCCGGGTCTTGCAGCCTACTGTGCTAAAATGTCACTTGAAGAAAGAGATCACGCCCTGATGCTACAAGACTACATCATCAAGCGTGGAGGGCAAGTTACATATGATACGATTGCTCCACATCCGAAGGCTTCGGCGTGGAAATCTGCTCTTGAAATTGTGGAGGCAATGTTGGAATTGGAAAAATCTGTCAACGTGTCTCTGCTTGACCTAAACAAGCTTGCTTCCCTGAAAGAAGATGCCCATCTTTCCGACTTTATTGAGGGCACCTTCCTTTCGGAACAGGTAGACAGTATCAAAGAGCTGGTTGACATGCTTGTCCAGTTGCAACGAGCTGGTGTCGATGGCCTTGGCCTTTACATTTGGGACCAAAATTTGTTGTCTAAAAACTAGCCCGCAATTGGCTGAAAAATCTGTTTTCCAAAAACGGGCTCGGAATTAAGAAATCTGTTTATTAAAATTTGCACTTAATTCTTTACTGGAGAGAAGCTGGCGGTATTAAGTTATTAAAATACGGTAAAATGTTACACCACATCGGTTACTAGTGAATAGTCGGCGTCTGACATTTCAGACGCCGAGTCTTTAGAAGCCGGATCTTTGGCGATAGCAGCATTCGAGAGAAATGGTTCCCGTAACGAGAGCTCAGATACTTTTTCATGCCGGTTTTCCGTAGCAGCGGAAGATGAACAAATCTGGTTGTCAAGTGGTGCGATGCCACCCGTTGTCACGGCTGCACTGGTGTCGATATGTTCGGAGCCCAATTTATTTTCCGCTCCTGAACAATCATCTGTATTTGCAGGATGCGGGTCAAGCGAACCAAGTCTGTGGTACGCCCTTGATTGCCTGCGAGGGTGAATGGCATCTCGGAATTTTAGCCGCCACAGGGACTTGACGCTCAAAGTAAGAAAAATAGAATTTTCGATTAGCTGGACAAATAGGGACCCCGAACGAGATAGCAAAAAGGGACTGCAAAGATATAATTCACCCAAAGCACAGACAAAGTTTTCATTAAAAAAGGCCTCATTCGCAATGTCTAGCATTGAGGCTGTTAAAAAGGCCTCAAACTTCAGCAAATTGTCCAGGGGAAACCAAGCTTCAACGGGAGGCAGGCCCATCATCAAAGAGGTCAGTAGCTTAAGTTGAGCAATTTGCATTGACCTGTAATTATCGGGACACAACAGCGTAGTAATCAGCTCACAGAACAGAGATTTTGAAAATTCAATACTCAAGTGCGATGAAATGTTGAAAATCAACGCAAACTGAGCAAGTCTAATTTCAGATCAAGCCAATGATTACCTGAATGGCTCGAATTCTGAGGCGCGTAACGCGCAATTTTTGGTGGCTGAAAAGATCTCCGATACAAATGCCGAGATGTTTGGAAAAATATCGACAAACTTGAGCACAATAATTTCGAATAAATCGTAGACATCCTTAAAAATTGGAAGAAGAAACTGCATATTCTCTGGGCCCTAAAATTAGTTGATCGAAAGGTCGAACCAAAGCTGACATCAAATAACAGTGCACATTGCGCAGAAGCAAAAGAATCTTTTCCAGTTGGATGGAAACAGGAAATGTTTGAGCATTGCAAAAGTGGTCGATAATAACGGATAGCGAATTTGCCATTGGAAGCATTTTTTTCCTCATCGTCTGAGAATCCAAAGTGAGCAGGAATAAAAATTCGGTTCTAACATACGAATTGTCTGGGATTTTCTCAAGCACATGATCAAATCCAGGAAATTGGATAGGATTAACCATCGAGCTGTTGAGCGAAATCAGGGAATACTGGATCGAGCCCAGAAGCATGTCTGTATATACTCCCCACTGCGATGAGCGTTTAGGGGCTTCTGTAATTTGAAGGAGCGAATCGATGTATCGGGTCGCAATCTAAAGGTAAATAAAACGCCAAAACAAGCCACCTTTGCGTCCAGCGATGCATGTTCAAATAGAAAAAATACAAGCAAGGCATTTGCTTGATCCACATGTGAGCGACACAGTTTTGGAGCCTTTTTTATAATACTGGACAGCTGTTCAAAAATTTCATTTGAATTGCAAAGTATTTTTGAATGCTGAGGCAAATCCCTGCATAAGGAGGCGCCCAAAGACAGACGCAAGCCCTCCAAACAGGCATCAAATCCGAGCATCAATTGAAAAATTAAAATTTTATTTACAATATTTGTCTGACTTTAGTTTTTCTCTGCGATCCAACAAGGCAGAGTGCAGCTGGCCCTTTTCCTCGGCGGTTTTTAAATTAATGGTTGACGAATCCATCTTACTCTTTACCAGGCTCAGCTTTCGATCGTACCACGAAACGTATCTTTTCATTTGGTCATACTCGTAGTTGGAAACATCAATGGAGGGTTGTGCGGAGCTGCCTGCTTCAGAGCTCTTGGCAAGCGTGTTAGCAGATCTTGTTGAATGGTGGAAAATAAAAAATTTTGTAGCCTCTTCTCTTGCTTCAATATCTGCTCTCAGGCATTTGTAACTAAAATCATATTGAAGATGCATATCGACATCTTCGGTATTGTAGGACTTTCTTTTGAATATCACACAAGGTATCCCATCGGTATCGTTCAGAAATATTGGGATCCACAATTCATGTGGACCAATGGCTTCTTTTGTAGTCTCAACAAACCCATGCTTATCAAATCCAAGGTATTTGCCATGCGACGTCTTAATTGAAAAATGGCTTCTGTCCCCAATAAATTGACCCACAACGACATGATGGGAAGCAGATGGCTGCGCATCAGATACAAGCAATGGAACAAGAGAAATTGTTCCAAGCTCAGAAAAAGAAAGAGAATATCGTTCAGAGTCTCTTTCAAACGTAAGCCAAAGAGGGCCAATCAGGCCATCTTGGTTGGTCAACGGAACCCATTCTATGTCGTCAAAATGTAAGTGTACTGTTTGGATTTTTTGACTCGTCTTTTCCTTGCGCTTTGAGAGACACTTTTGAGTTGGACCCATCTTCAACGGCCGAAATCGGGGCTTTAAAGCCTTTAAACGAGAGCTTTGATCTTTTAATCATCGGATTTAAAATAAAAAATTGGGCATAATTTCAATTTTAACTTTCATTACCAACTGGCATGGGAGCAGATGGAGGATCCATTCCCAAGCGATGTGAAATGGTAAAAACCGCCAAGCGAAACGAGCCTCTCAGCTCGTCTGCCCAAATAGTGGCAAACTGGACGACATGTGAACTTTCCAAGGAGCCTCTTGTATTTCCTGTGGTCTCCTGTCGTTTAGGTCACTTGTACTCCAAATCCTCCATTCTGGAGCTTTTAATTTGCAGAAAACAAAAGAAAGATTTTCCATTTCCAGATGGTCCCGAAAAGTTTTCCTATATAAAATCCCTGAAAGATCTGCAGAATTTATCCATCAAAACCGACTTTCTTAGCTATGTTTGTCCGGTTTCCGGACGCTCACTGAATGGAGTCAACCCCTTTTTCTTCATCTGGGGATGTGGATGCATATTTTCAGAGTGTATTTTAAAAACCGCAAGCTTTTCCACTTCTCTGTGTCCTGTGTGTTCCCACCAATATCTGAAATCAGATATTGTTCCGTTTAATCCTATAACCAGCTCTTCAAGGTCAAATGTCAGCAGGAAAATAGTTATCGGTCAGGATTATGTTTTTGCCACCGCATCTGATCATCTTGTAAATGACCCCACCGTTGGCCAACCAGGTAGAAACCTGGATTACCATCCGCCAAATCGGTCCGTCTTCAACACAATGGTGCAGCAAAAGCTGACGAGTGCCAAAGAAATATCTTCCATCAACTCTATTTACACGAAAACCAACAAGCAAGAAAATCTTTAATCATTAAAAAGTGTCCATAGAAATCAAGTACTGCTTAAAGGTATACATAAACTTTGCAGCAAAAGCCTCTAGATGGAAAATGCTTTTGGCCCCTTGTACAATTCTTGTTTCCTGATGTGTTACCGAAAAATCACCATACATAGTGTGCTGCATCTTGGCAAACCTGTCGTTTTAGAAATTCTTCAGTTCGGCTGGCCAGCGAGAAGGCCAATTTCTATGGTTGAGAATAAAAATAAACCTTCAGAATCAACGAAGCAGGTATACAATGGGACAGAAGTTCATAGAACTTTGCCCGGACCAATAGGAGCCTACATGGGGTTAGGACAACATGTTAACCTTGCCGGGGTTTGCTCTTGTATTAAGCTCTGGGCAATATTTTCTATTAGAGCTTCCCAATCCGTAATTTCGATTTGATTTGGACTATGAGGTTATAGATGCGGCGGAAGGTACTTTTTGCTTTTGAGCGAAATTTCGAGCGAAAGAAGGGCCTTTCTTATGTTTCCCTGAGCATAGGCGACTACTTCGCCAATCAGAGAAGGGGATGGGTTAAGTATGCCCTCTTGCTTGCACACATGAAGCAAAAGACTTTTGACCTACAAACAAGCATAATGAGAGAGGAATACCTGTTCATCCTCGGGCGCCGGAACGCGAACCAATACGCATCTGCTTTGGAGAGGCTCAATTATTTTTCCAAGATTAGAGCTGAACAGAATAATGCGGAGATTGGTCATATATTTCTCCATGGTTCTTCGAAGTGCATGTTGAGCATCTTTTGTCAACATATCGGCCTCGTTTAAAATGGCCACTAATTGGGGGCAATAAATTTGCGGAAAGCTTACCTTTGTACTCGCGAGGAGCTTCTCTGGAGATTTGCTGTGTTTGTGCAAAATCTCTTAGCATCTCTTGCACAACCAAACGATCGTAAAAACCAACATCGCTAAATTCAGGTCAGAAGAAAACACGTGCCTTGGATTCATCTCAACGTGATAAAGACTCGAAATTGTATGCAGCTCGACCGTTTTTCCAGATGGCGTATCAAATGACTTGTTGTCAATTTTTAGCTAAATGGTTGGTGTTGAAAAAACTACCTTTTCAATTGCAGCTGGTGTGTAGAGCGTCTTTAGCAGGGAAATGATTCTGGTCCTTTTTCCGGCACCGGAAGGGCCATAGATCAACAGATGTGGAATATCGCCAAGCCGAGCCTAAGTTATTGCATATATGCTTACGAATGCTTTCAATTGGGTTGTTACTTCTGGATGCATATCCAGCTCGTCCAAGCTACTGGGTCTATGTTTATCGGCCCAGAGTAGCGTCATTGCGGGAAGGAGCGATAAAAACTTTTAATAATTAAATTTTGGGATGAACTTTACGACGATATCGCAAGAACTTGCGGAATGATCTGGTGTTCTGCCGGACTTGATTGACTTTTCTCAATGCCCAAGCCATGTCTTCCTCCTTTTGAGAAAGTTCTAGAGGCTTTCCTTGTTTTTTTCTCCTCCAGAGCCCAACAGCCTCCTCATACATCTTCTTCCTTTCTCGAACGACCTGTCTGATTCTTTTCATTGTCAATCTAGTCTAGAGATATTAATAGTCCAAATAAATACTTTGAGTATCCTTGAAGTTCCATTCCATTCCACATGCCTTCTTGACGCAAATGTTTCCTGCGTTGACAGGACGTTAAGTTCTTTCAAACATACAAACCAAAGTTTATGAAGGTCTTCAAAGGATTTAAGACGCAACTCTGCAGCGCTCCAAGAACGGCCTGAAATTATTATAACAAATTACCAAAAGTATGGAACTTTTCTGAATTGGCGTCTGGGACCGGAACGCCATCTTCAAAAAATTGATACAGTGGAGATACAAAAAGAGGAGATTTGGGGTCAGGAGGGCCCTTAGTCTGTGAAAAAGTAGAAAATAAATGAGTGCAAAAAAGCGGCCTGCCAAAACGGGGCAGTTTAAGGAGGCCCTCTAATAGAGGAAAAGTTAGCATTTTGTGGAAAATGGTGTTCTATCGTTTGAAAATGTACGGATTATGTATTTTTATATAAAAATTTCTCGACAAACGTTAAGGGGAACTAGCTCATATGGTAGAGCGATCGCTTTGCATGCGATAGGCGCGGGGATCGATACCCCGGTTCTCCATTTTATTATTCCCCTAAATTTTATTTAGGGTACAAATTATTTTGCCCTGAAGTGCTGCATCTCAACTGACGCGAAATGGACAATTTGAACTTCGAACCCTAAAATTAATTTGTTATCAAACGAATCCACTTAGTGTAGAGGTAACCTCTAGTATGAACGCCCCAAAACATGCACATAAAAGAAAATTTATCCATTCAGACATTATTGATTCACACATGGACGATTTAAAGCCGTACACGCTTGAAAATGCGCCAGCCCAGAATTCGATTCCTTTTGATGCTTGCGACATTTCCGAGTTTGTTGCCTTAAACGAGATTATAGATTTCTGTTTGGTACCGATATGCTGTTAAATTGTAGGGATTTAACACGGATCACATCAGAGCTATTGAACGCCCCGAGAAAAACTATACATCGCCGGAATATTGTATTGACAGGCAATATTTTGGTATTTTGCATTTCTAAACATAGATCCTTCGGTGTGCTCCATCATCGAGCGTCTTATTCCGATCTGCAGAAACTATAAAGCCATCAGTGCATTCATTGAAAAATCGAACGTGCCATCTATATACAATTTTGGCTTGGTTGCACAGGCACTAGGCTCCGCACTTGGCGCAATACTCCAAGTAATTTCCTTTTCTGCCGTTCATTAGGATTACAGGCTCTTGTTGCTTGATATTGAGCGCCAATTCAACAAAAATGACCTGTCGCTCCAAAAGTTGCTTTTTTATCTTGAAGGCCCATCTTCGTTGTTCGCATTTTTGACTGCGCAAATTATTGACCCAGTTTCGAACCAAAAGCTGTCTGGTTGTGGGGTAATTAGGCTTATTGAAAACTGTGCAAAGTACTCATCCAAGTCAAAAGAAGTTGAGTGTATTGTGGAATTTATCCTTGAAGCTTGCTATGCTCCTGTGTTTGAAATCGCCGCCAATTGGGTGAAAACAGGTCAATTGGTAGACCCGCTCGGAGACTTTTTCATTCAAGAAGATGTGACTCTGAAAAAAGAAGATCTTATTGAGGACTTTAACTCCAACTATTGGAGCGAAAAATTTTCCATCATCAATGAATATGTCCCCGCATTGTTTCGGAGTGACAATTTGCAGACGATGATTTTGATGACCGGAAAATATGTTTATACTTTAAAGGAATGTAGCAGCCAATACCGGTTTTTGGAATATCCACAAATAGAACTCATATACAAATCCGGGGATACATCGAAAGCGTGAGATTTTGATCTGTTTGACACTTAGGTTTGTGTCTTGTATTGAGAAAATCCACTCGCTAGCATATCGACAGCTATCCGATATGATTTTAACGCAGAACGAGCTTTTCTCGAATATAAGGTTTTCTGTTTGTGCCTTTTCGTTAGGGTTCTCAAAGAATTCTACTTTTTGCAGGCCTCAGATATCTTTTCAATGTTTTTCAACATCTCAAGAACAGAACTATCCAATCCCAAAGCTCCAGCTTCTTTGGAACGATTGCAATCCAATTTTGACAGCATTTTCAGCCTGTACGAGTCAAAGATAGATTCCAAATTGATGTCCAAATTTTCATTGGGTTTCCAAGAAGACACGCTTACCGATCTGCTGATGAACATCATTCATATTTCGTCAAACGACGCCGGCGTCCCTGCCCTGCAAAGGTCGGCTTCAAAGAATTACATTCCTCTTGGTATGAAATTCCGATTTTCATCCTTAGGCTACCAACTACTTGATATCAATTATGAAGTTTCTTACCCCCTGTCCATTGTCCTGTCAAAGAAATCAATGACAAAATATCAACTTCTTTTTAGGCAACTCTTGCAATTTCACGTGATTTCGTCTCAGCTCAGCCACTGTTTCAACTTTGAATCGATATGCGGATTCAGGTCTTTGGATATCAAATATCCCTCCATCAAGACATCAATGATACAAATGCACCTGCTAAAGTCGAAAATGATTTTCTTTATCAATTCGTTCTTATCTTATGGTCAATTTGAGGTCATCGATTATCATTGGAATGATTTTGTGTACGTGTTTTCGGTTGAACGCACATCAGATTCGCCATTATTGGAATTTGTGATGAATTCTCATTCAAAATTCCTAGATGGTTGTTTAAAGGATCTGTTTTTGACCAATTGGCAGCTTTATAGAATCATTTCAAAGATCCTTTCAAATTGCATGCTGTTCATCACAACATGCAACAAGATCTCCAAGGATCTCGGAAACATTTCCTGCGAATCCTTGGAAAATGAGGATGAAATTCATGCCCGCGTAAACTCCCTAATGGCGAAGCAATATGCTAAAATTGACACGAACTTTATGTTTCACGTGCATCTTCTTATAAAATCCCTTAGGTTTTGTTCTACCACAGACTATGACCATAGAATTGGTAACCTGCTCGCATTTAATTACTTTTCATAGGGTCATTGATTTTTTTATTGGAGTCTGGGTTTCCCGTAGAGGGCTCCGAAGCCACAGCCGAATAAACCAAATTAAAATTTACAAATTTAGTCTATTTGCCAATGGAACAGAACAGCATGTCCTCAACACCAACGGCTCGTGGATTTCCTCCTTTAAAGCAGGTTTTTGCCAAGAACTATGAAGACTTTCTTTGCAAGTCGGACTCATCCTGCGGTGTTATGCACACCCTACCAATCATTCCCGACTGGTTACCATGCAAAGTATTTTTCTTTCTTTCTAATACCCCATTAAAAGGTCCCGGTTCAAATCTTCCTAAATGAAGTTCTTTTGAACGAGATGAATGAAGAGATTAAAAAGAGTAGGAACATCGGTCCAACCGGATTTCTTCCGGCCCTTCTGCAGCTGGCAAATGTGGCAACTCTTCCCGGAATCGTTGGCTCGTCAATTGGCCTACCCGACATCCATTCTGGGTATGGCTTTGCGATCGGAAATGTTGCTGCATTTGATGCAAACGATCCAGCTGCCATTGTATCTCCGGGTGGTGTTGGCTTTGATATCAACTGCGGTGTCAGGCTTATCAGGACAAATCTGACGATTGATGACATCAATCCTATTAAGGAGCAATTAGCTCGGGTATGAGGCATCTCTATTGATTCTCTTTACAAATAGAGTCTATTTGAGACGCTTCCAGTGGGAATTGCAGGAAGCCAACCAAAGGCATCATCGAACATTAAAATTGACATCAAAAACCTTAATGAGATTTTATCTACCGGCGTCAACTGGGCCGTTAAAAACGGATATGCATGGCCAGAAGATTTGGTGACCTGCGAAGAAAACGGATCTATCCAGCCAGCAGATCCAGCTTGCGTTTCCCAGAGGGCCAAGGGAAGGGGAATTTCGCAACTGGGCTCACTTGGAGCTGGAAATCATTATGCAGAAATCCAAACAGTCTCATGCATTTATGACGAAAAGGCTGCAAAAGCTATGGGAATCTCCAAGATTGGGCAAGTTTGCATCATGGTGCACTGTGGAAGCCGAGGACTTGGGCACGAAATCGCATCAAGTAGCCTTTTGTGCAATATTTCTAGATTACATTGACCTAATGAAGGGAGCCATGGAGCGAGATAACATATCGATTCCGGACAGCCAGCTTGCATGTGCAAGGATAAATTCACGGGAAGGCCAGGAATACATTCGGGCAATGAATGCTGCGGCAAACTATGCCTATTGCAACAGATCGATCTTGACGTTTTTCATTAGAAAGGTAGGCAGACCATAAATTCTATAACTCTAACGCTATAGGCTTTTGAGAAGCTTTTTCCAGCAAAGACAGCAAGAGAGCTTGATATGCATCTTGTTTATGATGTTTCGCATAATATGGCAAAGTTTGAAGAGCATTCCATTGGCCAGGGAGAGAACCCTACAGAACTTCGCACACTGCTTGTGCATAGGAAAGGCGCAACACGATCCTTCCCGCCGGGCCACCCATCTCTTCCGGCCATGTATTCAGAAATTGGGCAACCTGTTCTAGTTGGAGGTTCAATGGGAACCTACAGCTATGTGCTTACAGGAGGACCAAACGCCATGGCTTCTTCATTTGGATCTACTTGCCATGGTGCTGGTCGAGCCAAGTCTCGCGTGGAGGCCAAGAAAACACTGTCCAGTCAAGAGATTTTATCTCGTCTCCAAAAGGATGGGATTACCGTCTGCATTGCAGATATTTCTTCTCTTTCTGAAGAGGTTAAAGTTGAAAGTTAATTTTTAGGCGCCTGAGGCTTATAAAGATGTAACAGAAGTGGTGGACACCTGTGAGCTTGCCGGATTGTCTATAAAAGCCATCCAACTGAGGCCCATTGCTGTCATAAAAGGCTAATTTTAATGTTGAGTGTCTGGTGTAATAATTAATTTATGTAACTTGCGCTCACTTTGGTTACCAAGTGATCATTGATAGTCTATGGGGCGTTTTAGCGTCAAGAATTAGGCTCATGTTGAATGATTGCATTACAAAAAATAATGCAATGCTCATCTTGTGCATCCTGTGCATCTTGGCGATCCGGATTGCTCTGAAGCTTTGATGCCCCACAATCAGATGAGCAGGAATAAATGAGAATGGTGGCCCATTCCATTCCCTTGCTATTTTCGTTAATGGTTGAGTCCGAGTTGAGACCAATGGAGGCCTCCTTTTCTGTTTGTAAAAGATGCAGAAGGGCCGGCATAAGCTGGCACTCAAAAACAAGCGGGGAACTGCAGGAATGGCACCTGAAATCAGCATTGACCGGTGACTGAGCCAAAAGCGGAAAGCCATTCCAAGAATACCTTATCACTTGCCAAGGTTCCTTTAAGATGGTTTTTTCAAAATTATAAAAATTCTCATCAAGATTTGGCGGTAGGATTCTTTCAAAACTCTCGTTCTCGAAGCCAAGCGTTTCACTATCTTCATGCAGATGATTGCCAAAAATTTCTTTTGTCAGGGAAAGATTTTGCGCAAGGTTTTCTAAATCATCGCCTTGCGTGTCAGATTCGCTATCAGAGTTGGCGATATCGTCCATTTCAAACACATCTCGTTCCTCAAATTCAATAGGATAGGCTGTAAATTTTCGTGGCAAAGGAAAGGGCTTTGAGATAAAAACAAGCTCATCGTCCTCTTTTATAGTTAGTTTGTCTTGAGCAGGGCAATTTGTGACCACATTTTCAATAACAAACGGATTGAAAAGTTTAGCTTCTTTTTTTATTGGCGCATCTTTCTTTGGACCTGTATGGAGACTAGTAGTTACATGTGGAACGGGGGTCTTCGGCACCCTCAAATATGCAGCAAACGCAACGATGCTCTCACTGGAGCGGGTGCATTCAAAATTATTGCATTCAAAAACAAACAAGATCCTGTCAATGCCTTCTCGATCGAATGGCGTGCAAGCTTGAAAGAGCAAAAACAAAGATTTTTGGCATGTCTGACACTGGAGGTTAATTTTTTCGTTGAAAGAAGCTTCAAATGGCAGGGGAATAATTGGAACACCCCCCACTTTTGGATCTAAATAGCTAGAGGGTTGAAATGATGGTGGCCGCAATCCACATTTTTTCTTTTTGCCAAACAAAGGAATTCCAATTGAAAGCATGGCCATAAGTTCAAAATTACACGCATGTTCAAAAATATTTTATTGTAAATTTAAATTGAAGTTGTCAAGTTGTTGAGGTTGAGGTTGTTGAAAATTAGCATTCAGGGATATGCAAAGCTAGCCCACCCTAATTTTGGGGTTATAACTTTGGAGATGGGCTTACCAACGAGGTTTCCTTGTAAACTGCCTTCATATCAAGCCCGGTTTGCTTCATCGTCTTGATTACTTGATCTAGAGATATCCTAAAGAAAAAGGAAATTGACAATATGGTTCAAACTTTTGATTTCCATCTCGTTTTAGAGCTAACTGAGCTGCAGTTAATGCCTTTACGGCACCCATCGCATTTCTTTCAATACACGGGATTTGAACCAATCCAGCAATAGGATCGCATGTCACTATTAACAGTAAAGGGGAGCGGAATACTTCCTAAATGATGCTCCATTGCTATTTCGGCAGCATTCAACACTTGTTTTGGAGTTCCTCCAAGAACAGCGGCCAAACCCGCAGCGGCCATTGAAGAGGCTACCCCAATTTCGCCCTGACATCCAACTTCAGCAGCGGAAAGGGACGCGCCATGCTTAAACAAAAATCCTATAGCACTTGCGGTCCACAAGAAAGTGCAAATCATTTCCTCTTCACCAGAGTTATTTGACGATTTAGTGTGCTGTCCAAACTCAAGCCAGTACTTCAAAGTAGCCGGAATAACTCCAGAAGCTCCGTTAGTCGGAGCCGTTACAATTCTCCCACCATCCGCATTTTCTTCGTTGACTGCAATAGCAAAAGTAGAAATCCAGTCAATATCTCTAACCATGCCAGTGGGCGGGCCATTGTGGACTCCCGCAAATATCTGATTAAGATTTTTGTCTCTTTCTAGAAAAGGTGTTAACGCCAAGCTAAATGCATCGGCTGAATCGTTTACTTGTTGCAATAGTAAAGATGGGGCTCTTCGCTTAACTTTCAATACGCCAGGCAGGATAGAATTCACATCACGGCTCAATCCAGCAATAATTGACGCTTCCATCACTCTCCAAATATGAAGTGTTTTTTGAATAATCTTGTCTGTTGAGGAAATAAATGGCCTTTCGTTTTCAAATGCAATCTATTATAAAAGCGATGGACCGTTAACCTCTGAAACGGTTTTTCTATGGTCGTTACACCAAGTAAGTAGCTCTTCACCTGAAAAAAATGGATAAGGAACTTGAGGACGGTCTTTTGAATTGGATGGCTTATCGCTTGCGTCAACAATAACCTTTCCTCGCAGTTGGAAGCCATCGGAGATAACAAATCCGCCTCCAATCGAAAAAACCGTCTCCTTTGCAAGCAGGGACCCATCAGCTCCAAACGCCATAAAGGCTAAGCCATTAGAATGCTTTGCAAGAAAGATTTTCTTGTGAAAGTTTATATTCTCCTGCATTGAAAAAGAAAGTTGAACTTTTTCAAGGACATGCAACACCGAACATTCTTCGATAGATTTCAACAACTTTGGAATGGTGGTCGGGTCGATTGATTCTGGATCTTTCCCTATTAGGCCCATCTTAAAAATAAGCAAAGAAATTTAAACTTACAGCAATGGCCTTTGGGGTGCCATGTCCTTCTCCCGTCAAAGCCAAAGAACCATATAGGTGGACAAAAATGGAATGGAGTGCTCCAAGCACTCCGTTTGCTTCAAGTTTTGTTACAAATTTGTTTGCAGCTCTCATTGGGCCTAAAGTATGCGACGAAGAAGGCCCAATTCCAATCGAATACATGTTGAAAATCGAAATATACGGGCCTTTTTCATCTGTAGACTCGCCCGGAGTTAAGTATCTCTTTGCGAGCGCAGACTTGTTCACAATGGCATCGCTACGATGTGACAAATGAGAAGCGAGATTTCTTTTAAAAAGTGAAAAGCCGCTCTGAGTATTCGGCTTTTTTAATAATGCAAACATTGCTACGGGGATCAAAAACAGGCATTTCTAATTTAAGAAGTATGGAAGTGTAGTCCAATCACATAAAAGTGGATAAATGAGGATCTTAAACTTTATTTGCCTATCAACTTTGCAGAGTAAAAGAGAGGTCTTCTGTCATATCTTCTTCCATCAACAGAGTCAATGGAAAGGTGTAGAGTCGGGGCCAAGGCTGTGGACTTGTGTCTATTTTTTAGATATCTGTTTATAAATTGTGCCGAATCCTAAAAATGACAGAAAATTCTGATACCTTGCTTAAGCTTGATAGACCATAATTCTTTTCTTTTCTGAGTTTGGACATGTGTTCGATTTTGTCATATGTCATTTGAAGTTCGTCCTGATAAGATAAATATCTCAGGGCTACCTCGTCGCTTTTGAACTGGCTGTCCAACTCGGCACATGGGGTTGCACAAAGTATGCTGACAATAAGATGTAAATCGTACTCTCGTAAAATGCCGAATTTGTCTGTGCCATGTGTCTCCCAGAAGTAATTTACCATTGACCGTACTTGAGACTTGTGAATGGATCCTATTGGATTCAAGTCTCCACTAGAGCAATCGTATTTTGTGAAGTGCCCCGTTATGGTTTCGTCTAAATTTGATGCAGACAGTACTAGGGCATTGGAAGACATTTGTGAAATATAGTAGGAGAGAACCATTCTAAGTCTTGCCTAAAGAAATGTCAGCATCAAATTGATGGTTCACTTGTAAATTTTGATATGCGACCTGGCTATTGGCTTTCAACGTCGGAACTGAGTTGCGAGCACTTTCAACAACATCGTCCATGTTTACAACACAGAAAGAACTATGTTCGACCAAGATATGTAATAGTAAATGTACCACCCAATTGCCTCTGCAAGCTTACTGGCTCTGAGAAAAGAAGAATTTGTATTGTTTTTAGACCTCATATAGGAGCATTGAAGGAACGAGCTATCACAAGGAATCTAGTGGTTACCTAAAAGTTGACGGCAATCCTATTTCTTGGTTCAATGAAGGCAAGTTTTGTACCTTGAGCGTGATTTTGCTCACTTAAAAGTGTGAAAAGATGGTAAATTATTAAGGCCACAAGGTAGCTATCTATGCCTCCACTAAGGGCAAGAAAAAATCCAGAACGTCCACTTTTTCTAAGATAGTCCCAACACCAAAGAAATAGGATTG